CCAAAATGTTACAGCTGAGCCCAAAACATAGTCTGTCTCTGTACCCCTTGCTTAGCTAAACCATCTTCCAGGCTGTTGGCAGATCTTCTAACCCAATTAACTTGGATAAACATGTCCCAAGAGAGTCATTTGAACCACCTGAGAACATTCCTTAGGTGCCAAGATACTCCTTCCCCCTTCTTTAGCCAGTTCACAACTATTTTGGAATTGTTTATGTGAAATGTTTTTGCTGCTTATCCCAATACTCCTACCAAAGAAAGAAAAAGAAGAAAAAGTTACTTGTCCAAGTATGACCCTTGATCTGGTAACAAGGAACTATATTCTTGTTTTTGAATTTGTTTTTTTTTTTGTTTGAGTTCGATATAAAACAGGAAATCTCGTACCCGAAGAAATTGATACTAGACGGCAGGCTTCTTTTTATCTGAATTCTCTTTTTGAAAGACCTGGTTACTGGACTCGACAGAAGCAGCATATTCATAATTTATCTCTCTAAGTTTGATAAAAGTTGTTTTCTTCCATCAAGATGTGATGCACTATCAATTCTTTTCTTTTTTGATCTGGGAGGGGGGTTAACTTTGTTCAGTTACTACCACGAAAAGATACCAAACAATAAAAAGAATAAAAACCTGCTGGTTTTCTGAAACAGGATTGGTTCACCAGTTGCCAGTTTTTATCACCCCCAGTTTTTAGGGCATGACTGAACTGGCCAGTGGACTGGCTCAGGGTTTTTCTGGTCAGACTGACCAGTCTGGCCTGGTTCCCTGAACACTGGTTACTACTTCTACAAAATAAATAAATAAAAGAACTATAAATCTATGTCTAAGATAGTGACAAGATTCTAGCTGCTATACTTGGTAAGGCCTGAGTCATGAGATCGTAGACCTGGATTTGTCCTCTTCCTTGAACAAAACTCACTTTGCATCAAAGAATAACCATTATAGACTTCTAGTTGTACATTACTCTCCGTCTGCAAGATCTATTTAGGGTTTTTCTTAGGGTGAATTTGAGGATTCCTACTTTGGCTTATTAGAAGGTGCAGGAATATATTTCTATTCCCTCTGAAGGAAGAGGGAATAGGGAGTTAGGAGATTGTGAAGCATTGATCTTATGTTTTTACATATTCTTGTTTTCCTACTATCCTAGGGCACCTTGTCTTCTTCTACATCCTTTTGAAAATACTGATGTATTTTTCATTAATCTAAAAGTAGTTATGGGTGGCTTAGGAACAAAAGATGGGTCTCTTGGCATCATCACAACATCGTGAAAGAAATACAAGACTTGTAAAGGGGAAAAGTTTTAGATTGTAATTTGTAAATAGAACAGCTGTTATGGAAAGGGTGGATTGGCCGAGGAGGACAGAGTGTTAAGGAGGACAGAGTGTAAAGGAATCTCACAATGGGTTGACCGAGGAGGACAGAGTGTTAAGRAGACAATTAAAAAAGGATTTGGAAGAGGTGTTATTGAGGGAAGAAATCAGTTGGAGACAAAAATCTAGACACAAGTGGATTAAGGAAGG